GCGCCCGACTTGTTGCCGAGGGTCTTTTGCAACGGATGATTTCTGATGAACGAGCGCGCGCGCAATGGTATTTGGCGAAGGTGGAACAGGCGGTCGAGCCCGGCGCGGCTGGGATGGCGTACAAACAAATGTAGAATGGCCAGTGGGGCATACTCACGCGTTATTTGAAAATCCCCAGGGGGGGGCCCAGGGGGTGGGTGGGTCCGAATTCTTTTTGTGGTATAAACAACTATGTAGTGAAATCCGCGTTGCGCAATGAATGCGGTGGAATATGCGCGGTGCAATTAATGGCTGCTCGCAGTGAGCTGTGAACTCCGCTGCTCGCGCAATCGCCTCCGCGGCCCGCCCGCTGCAAGACATGGGCACTCCTTCTTTGTGCGTGGAACTACTAGCATAACTCGCGCGCATGGCGCGATTGCGACGCGCGCGCACGTGGACTTCGTGGCGCGCGGTTGCAAGGCGTGTTCCTGTAGAGTGCCCGTTTGAAATAAACAAATACGCGCGCGTTGTATTTTTGGACATGGGCGAAGGGGAAACCGTCGCGGCCCCGGCTGGGGCGGCGCGATTCCGCATGAGGAACCGAACGACGAACCGGGCCCGCGCGCAAACATGCCTTTGGGAAATAAAGAATTGCATTCGACCGTCATGACGTTGCGAACTCCAGCGCTCGCGCAAACATCCCACTCTGCCGCCCGCAGCGCGAGTGGCGAAACCATTTGGGCAACGATTGCGGTTCCCGCTTGAAGCCTGCCAGCGCGTCCCCGCGTCCGCGATTGCCTGGGCGACCAGCTGGCCCGGTGCAACTTCTGCGCCGATGGGGGCTTCCAGGCGCGCTTCGCGAGCTGCGCTGACGCGCGGGCATCTCCGCGCGAGTCGGCGACTCGGGCCGGCGCGGCACCGCGGCGACGTCCTCGACGGCAAGCGCGACTGCGAAGATGATGATAACCCGTGATGATGATGGCAGCGATGAAAACGATGGCGGCGACGATGGCGGCGCGGACGCCAGCCAGACCAATCGCGGCGACGGCGCTGTCGGCGATGATGCCCATGCGTCGGCGCTGAAAGTGGCCGCGATGATGGCGGCGGCCAGGGAGGCGATTCGCGATGACGACCAAGGACGCGATGCGATGACACTTGCGAAGGTCACGAGGGATTGCGCGCGCAGAGATAGAAGAACCCTGGCAGACTTGTCGTTGAAAGCTTCCTGGTTTTCATGTGTCATGAAAACCCAATCTTGAAATCCTTGCAGAACAATTGGGGCCGAAAGGATTTCGACTAGCGCGCGCGGCGGCGCGCGCGCGTGGCCGCGCGCGTTACTGGATGCGGATCCGCGCGCTGGAGGCATGCCAGATCAATGCGGGTACACTGCGTGCCAAGATGAGAACGCGGAGTCTTTGCGATATTGCTAAAATCGCATCGCATAAGATTTCAACGCGCGCGCGCGGGCGCCCTCGTAACCCTGGTAATCTGGTCGATGAGCAACAGATGTGATGCGTGCGAAACTAATGTGTGTTGGTCATATTTCGGCATGTGCGCGCCTGGACTTTGCGGCATGTTTGCAACCAGTTCTTGATCAATGATCTTTTGGGAATGCAAAAAAAAAAACGCGCGGAATTGTATGACAGGGGCGGTGAGCTGGGCTGGTGCGATTTCTCATGGGGAATCGACGATGCATTGTAATCAAATGTAACATGCGATGCCCCAAGGCGGGCGAGTCCGGGCTGGGGGTGGTGGTCGGGTCCCTTCTTCTTCAGAATTGCGAATTCACTCCTTCACTCCGACCGTTTTGAGGCCGCCAATGCCAATGCTCGCGCAAAATCCGCCGGCCCCCTTGTGGGGCCACCAGGCTGCGAGGCGCGTGATTCGCAGTTTCCTGTACCAGTTGTAGTTTGTAGTTTCCAGTGTTACAGTTCTGCTTCTTGCTGGTTACTGTAACTAGTTGACTTCTTGCTGGTTACTGTAACTAATTGATTGACCGCGCGAGGGGGGGGGAGGCCCAAACGGGATTTTTAGCACCCCCTGGGCGCGTTGTCTGAATTGCTGGGGGGGCTCGAAATCGACACCCCTCACGCAGATCCGCGGGGTCAGGGTCCAAAAACACAGGGATTTGCCACATTTCTGAAATTCGGTGCCACCCCTCACGCAGATCCGCGGGGTCAGGGTCCAAAAACACATGGGATTTGCCACATTTCTGAAATTCGGTGCCACCCCTCACGCAGATCCGCGGGGTCAGGGTCCAAAAACACATGGGATTTGCCACATTTCTGAAATTCGGTGCCACTCCTCACGCAGATCCGCGGGGTCAGGGTCAAAAACACACGGGATTTGCCACATTTCTGAAATTCGGTGCCACCCCTCACGCAGATCCGCGGGGTCAGGGTCCAAAAACACAGGGGATTTGCCACATTTCTGAAATTCGGTGCCACCCCTCACGCAGATCCGCGGGGTCAGGGTCCAAAAACACACAGGATTTGCCACATTTCTGAAATTCGGCGCCACCCCTTGCGCAGATCCGCGGGGTCAGGGTCCAAAAACACAGGGGATTTACCACATTTCTGAAATTCGAACCCATCACGCACATCCATCGCAAGGCGTGGTAACCCAAACTGCGAGAACTCCCTCAGCCCTTTAATCGCAAGGTGTGGTAACCAAGCCCGTACACCATACACGTCTTACCAATCGCCAGGTGTGGTAACCCCTCTTGTGATCAGTTGGTTTTGCTGATTGCGTTCGGCTTCGCATGAAGTTTCGATACTGCTTCACAACAGCGCCAAGGCCTCATGACTTAGCTCTTCCATGGCCCATTCTCCGAGAGAGGGGGCCGGCGGCAGGGGGCGAAGCCCTTACGGATCTCACCCTCCCACTCGCAACTTGCATGGCAAAAACCGTTCAACCACGACTGCAGTTCCGCGTTGGAACTGGTCAGCGCTGCTCCGCGGCTACGCTGGCGCGAGCGACCAGCTGGCTTTGCGCGACTTACGCACAGATGGGAACTCCCTAGCGCGTTTCGAAGGCCGCGTTGGAGCGCGGGCACGTCAATGCGGGCCGGTGACTCGGGCGGGCGCGATATCACGATGCCGTTGCCAACGGCGGCAACGATGCGATGACAGCGATGGCGGTGGCGATGGGGACGCTGACGAGAGCAATGGTAATGACGGCGCCGATGATGACGATGATGATCTCCGTGTGTCGGTGGTAGAGGTCATTGTGACCATGAGATCGGCGATGGCCTATCCTAGACTGCTTCGTCCCTAGGGGGCTGGGTGAATCCTGGCACGAAAGAGGAGTGATAATTCACTTCGGCCATCTTGAATTCGTCAACCCCAACGCTCACTCAAACATCCCCCGCACACACGCAACTTGTTGCCGAAATTCAGATGGGTGACGATAACGACAGCGCCGACGATGGTCATCGCAACAGTGGGTGGTATCCAAAACGACGGTGGTGATGTTGATGTTGATGAAACACATGGCAATGACGCTGGCAATGATGACGCTGGCAATGATGATGACGATGGCGCTGGAGGAAGAAAATAATTTCGCGCGCGCAGAACTTGACGGAAAAGACGACATTGACGATGACGGTGGTGGTGGTGTCGATGATGATGATGGCGACAATGTCCACGGTAACGGTGATGTACATGATGACGCGAGTGATGATTATAACCATGGTGCTGGTGAGGATGATGGGGAAATACGCGTGCAAAGATATTCACAAGTGTGTGTGCGTCAGTGGTCTGCTGAAACCGATTGGGTTTCGTATGTGCGGAGCATTTCTACGCTGAGTAGCTTCAGGCGCTAATGATTTTGGAAGGATTGCGACGCGTGCGCGAGACGCGCGCGTGTGGCCCGCATGGTACTATTGAACAAAATTGCCGAGTTCGCGAGCACTGTCGGACGTTTTCGGCGTGCGCGCACGTGCGGCCCGCATGCCACCATTTGATCAAACTGCGAAGCTTCATGGGTGCCCGACAATTCCAAAGAGCGCTCGCTCAGAATTCGAACAAACTCGAAGTTGAGCAAACACACTTCTGTTCGTCGTAATAGAATAGCGCTGTCTTGCAAATATTCGGACGCCGCTTGTTTTGGACCGGGTTTTGACATGCTCGCGCGGTGGTGCGCGCATGTGCCTGAACAAGAATTATCACGACACCACTTCGGACATCAACGCATGTGCGATGTCTAATATTATTTGACCCGGATGAGGAGGGTAATACCAAAGCTGGCTGGCATGCCGTCAGTTTGGCTTACGGGCGATCGACCATACACATATAACACATATACACGCATACCTTATATGCTTATATATATACACACACCTGTATATAAGAATGCAAGCATATATGTCTATGTACGTCTACATACATACATACATACATACATACGCTCACACGCAGGCACACATACACACTATGTGTGTTCACGTATGCACACAGTCACATTCACCTCTATTTGTGAAAATGAATGAAGCCCACGCCAACAAAAGGAATGGTCAACCACTGCCCCTGGTGGTGGGTAGGGTCGGATCTCGTTTACCACCCACGCGAGGAAACGCTTGACGGATCGATTCAGCAACCCCCCACCCGCGCCCATCCAGAATTGGCTCGTGGCTGGATCACTGCCGCTCCATGCAACATTAGATGGGGGAGGAGAGGGCGCCGTCGGCAGGCACCATCGGGCAAGCACAGTGGATGCCAGCATTGGATGGAGAGGAGGGCGGGCAAGGGACGACACGAACCCAAGAGGACGTCACGACAACCTCACGATGACCCCATGAATGACCCCACGGCTGCCCCATGACCCCATGGTAAACACCAAATGACCCAAACATAATCCCGACCCCGTGACGAACCTAGGTGACCCTCTTCGACCCCGTGGCACCAGGATGACCCCAAGACCTCAAAACGACCCGAGGATGATTACATTATGGTGTGTGTAAGAAAGCAGACATACACGCAGGAATGCACACCGCGAAATAGAAAGCGAGACGTAACAGGAACCTGGTGCGATCCATTTCCGCTCCGCATGCGCCCGGGAGCCATCTCCATCGACAAACAGCGCCGCAGGTCCGTCTTCCGAAGCGTCTGCGCTCGGCAAGTCCAGCACCAAGGCGCTGTACATGTCCTTGCGCATGGGGGAAGCTATCGAAGCCCACGCTGGGGGAAAAGCGTCAGATCAGTAACATATGGTGTAAAATCGGACTGTCTGGGCCCGAGGCGCTCAATATGACCACAGGACGGCCCAGGAGGCCCCAAATACACTCCTAAGAGGGCTCCAAGAGGCAACCTCGAGGGCCCCAAACATCTAACATCAGTAATTGCCTATGAAATCCTCGAAGGACGCAGCCTTCTTTACGCTAGCGACGCTAGCTTTATTTGTTTTCCCTGAACATGTGTTTTTGAACTTCGAGCTCGCAGCTCTCTAAGACGGCAGAAGAGGACCCCAAGAGCGCCTCAAGATGGCGCGAGAGGCCTTTCAGATGGCCCCCTGAGGCGGCCCAAACTAAACCGAAGACGGCCGAAGAGGCCCCCTAAAGTGGCCCGAGAGTGCTCCAATGGAGGGAGCACGAATGGTAATTTCGAACCCTCCGCCCCAAGATGACCCCCGAGACCGCCAGCAGGCTCCTTAGAGGCACCCTGGGACCCCCAGGAGGCACCCAAGAGGCCCGAAAGAGGCACTCAAAGGCATAACCTGTGCCCACTACACACCAACAAGTGTCTACAAAAGGCTTCGGGATACCTGCCAAGAGATGCCAACATGCATCCAAAAGGCCTCTGGCTTACGAATGGCGGGATGGGCCGAAAACCATTCGACCTGGGCCGGCACGGAAACGGAAAGAGCGCCCCAGGAACTTGCCCGAGAGTGCTCACGACACCCTTCGCTCTTGAGGGCCTTGGTGGTAAGAGCTTGTTGCGTCACCGCTCGCTCTTGGGAGCCTTGGTGTGCCGAGACTTTTAGGTTGCCGTTCGCTCTTGGGAACCTTGGTGTTGACAGTTGTTTACGTCACCGTTCGCTCTTGGGAGCCTTGGTGTGCACGAGTTTGTTACGTCACCGTTCGCTTTTGGGAGCCTTGGTGGGAAGAGCTTGTTACGTCACCACTCTCTTTTGGGAGCCCTGGTGTTCAGAGATGTTTACGTTGCCGCTAGCTCTTGGGGGCCTTGGTGTGACGAGTTTGTTAGGTTTCCTCCTCCTCCTCCTGAAGCCTCCTCCTCCTCCTCGTCCTCTTCCTCCTCCCTCCTCCTGACTCCTCCCTCCTCTTCCTCCTCCTCCTCCTGCTCCTCCTCCTCCTCCTTCTGAGCCTCCTCCTCCTCTTTTTCGTCGTCCTCCTCCTCCTCCTCCTCCTCCTCAACCCTCTCCTCCTCCTCCTCCTCCTCCTCCTCCTCCTCCTCCTCCTCCTCGTCCTCTCCCTCTTCCTCCTCCTCCTCCTCCTCCTCCTCCTCCGCCTCCTTTTGTTTTTCCTCCTCCTCCTCCCCCTCCTCCTCCTTCTACCTCTTTCCCTCCGCCTCCTCCTCCTCGTCCACCCCATCCTCCTCATCTTTCTCTTCCTCCTCGTTGTCCTCTTCCTCCTTCTCCTCCTCCTCCTCCTCCTCCCTTTGCCTTGTCCTCGTTCGTCCTCCTCCCTCCTCCTCCTCCTCCTCCTCCTCCTCCTCGTCCTCTTCCTCCTCCTCCTCCGCCTCCTCCTCCTCCTGCTCCGCCTCATCCTCCTCCTCATTCATTCATTCATCGATGAGGCGGACGGTTAGAAGCCTACACAGAACAGGATGAGGGTGCAAACGTGGAACTGGATCAGAGAGCATATCAAGTGAAGAGGTGAGATGCTGTACTGCCACGGGCGCGCGAGAATAGAAACAGGACGGGCAAGAACATTCAGATAAGCAGAGCCTTCACACAGGTGGCGATGGTACTGCCAGAGGCGCGCTGCACTCCGAAGTGCAGCACCCGCACGTTACTACTTTTTACGTGAGTGGAACACGAGCGCCAGCCAGCTAGGCGGGGGCAAACCTTCACGTGCGGGCCCTTCCCAAAGCTGAGCCACAGTCCAGCGAAGGAGAGAGATTGTAAGCCCAGGGTCCTTGACGTCACAGTGCCCACAGGTTGGTGGTTGGCGGTCGCCTGCGAGGATAGATGATGGAGTCGGTGGTAGAATGGCGCTCAGTATAGGCGAGCATAGAACCCACGGAGACCCATCGGGAGGACCCAATCATCACCGACTAGACGGAGGTCCAGCCGCCTACGGAGCCCAGCCTCCCCACGGAGGTCCCAAGATAGCGGCCGAGTATCGAGGGCGGTTCCTGGGGCCGATCCCCACGGGGCGCCTTGGCGCAGCTCTTGGCGCGCCTCGGGAAAGCCTTCGCGGATCTGTTGCAAGGGGGCTGCAGCCATCATCCTGCATAATTGGAATGGCAATCTGCAGGTGGCAGACTCACGAGACCTCACTCCTGCACTGTGTGCCGAGTGCACTGCGTGATGTCTAGCATGGTTGCAAAGAGGCCCCCCCCTGGATGTCTCGCAGCCGAGCGTCTAAGGCAACCACCCGAACTCCCAAGAGAACCGTGGGCTTGCGGGAGCAATCTCCGAACCTGCAAAGATGAAGTGTGTGCTTGGAACCCCCAAACATATCCCCGAGAGTCCTGACTTCTGGAAGCGACCAGATGCTAGGCGAGTTCTCCACAGAGTCCGCATGAGCTGGGTGCGCAAGGATAGCTGGGACACGAAGCTCACAGGCCACGCAACGCAGCAAGAGAGTTACGCGGAGCAGCCTGTTATCATGGTGAATATGTTCACTCTCGAATCTGGTTAGTGCTCCCATCCCCCACAGGTTGTTAGCATCACGCAGGGGGCGTCGGACTATCCTGTCACGTGGCGAAGGTTGCTGACTTGCTGCGGACCACGTCTCATGGGGGGGGGGGGGGGCAACGATGCCCGCCACCCTGCCTGATCTCAGGGGATCAAGTCGTATGTCCCCAGGGGAATCCTCTGCCAGATTAGCCAGCGGCGAGGTGTTATACGCTCAGCACGGCGCACCTAACGGGAAAGAGGGCTTGCAGTTGCTCAAAGTGGTCCTGCAGATCCCCCAGACGACGATGTCCGCCGAAGAGATGCAAAACAATTTGGAGGGGTCGAACAGGAAGCCTCAGGGGCAGGCGCGCCCCAGGATCATCGACTGGAGGAGCGGCCACAGGTGGGGGGCAAGACTTGTTGGCGCCTAGAGATCGGCACACGCGGGGCGATCGGCGGACCCTGGCATTGCAGCCAAGGGGGCGCAGCAAAGCTATCAGAACGTCCTTGCTTCCTGTTTAAAGCAGCTTCTTGCTTGGCTTCAAGTCGCGCCTGTGCTAATTCTCCTGGGGGGGGGGGGGGGAAGGCGACCCGATGCGTGCCAGGCGATCTTGCAAGCAGGGACATTCGGGAGATGCTTTACCAATCGTGTCACATGTCGGGAATCGCGTAAGCACACTTGACACAACGTGCCCGTCGCATTGTTGCTGGGCGATAGAGACGACTTGTGCACCTTACAAACATGTGAATGAAGTTGCTGAGCACTGCGTGCAATATGGCCCCATTCGTAACAGACAAAGGAAGAGGCAATAGGGAAATAGTCAGATGATAGCGATGTGCCCAGTCCGATCTGGTGGAGTCGGTGTCGCCAGATCTCTAGGTGGGCCTGATCACTATATTATCTCTTGGCCTTGCCAATTGCACTTTTTATCATGCCTTTGTATTGAATGTTGTTGGCCCGAACTAGTGAAATCCAGGTTTCATCTCCATCGTCTGGCCCAGGGCACTCAGGAACCGAAAATGGAGCCAACCAATGTCAGCACGGATGAGCGAGGGCCATCCCAAGGGGTCATCCCACTTCAGGCCCACTAGCGCCCTGAGTACCGGTGGGGCCTGCCGCAGAACCCTGGCCAGAAGACGCAAACGCCCCACTGTGAGAGCGACTTTTGTTGGGAGGCGGTTAGCGCCCAGCAAAACTTGGGCATTAATGAAATGATTATCTGCATTGTTGGTGGCTGACAGTCCAGCAGCCAGTCGATAAACCGCTAGATGGGCCGTCTGAACTTCTTGAACTGAGCTGCTGTGAGACGGGTCCAAACAGGGGCGCCGAAAAAGAAAACAGAGGAGGCTAGGGCCTCAGCCAACGTGATTGTTTTGGCCAGTGGGAGTTGACTTCGGGGGGCCACAGTATGCCGAATGGGACGCAGGGCATGGTAGGCTTTGGAGGTGCGAACTTGGACATCAGGCCCCATGGAGCCATCAGCCGCGACTTGGCTGCCGAGAATGTTGCGCACGAGGGTGGTAGGGGAGGAAAATCCCCAGCGCTCAGAGGTTATCTCCGTCATGGCCTTGCCTGGTAGGCTGCGCAGCGCAATGCGAGAGCCTTTGCCGTTAAGGGGAACCAGTAACTTGGCGCTGGCGCCATGCATCGAGAAACCAGCCGAGGCGGCGGCGCAGTAGACATTCTCGGCGAGGGCACGGGAGATGGACAGCACATCTCTTGGATCATCGAGCAGGGGCAGTACCGTGAGATCATCAACAAAAGAAAGATCGGTGTAGGCGGTGTCCCAGTCCTTTTTCCGCGGCGAACTTGGGCGGCGGAGCGTCGTGCGCTTCCTGCCAAGATCGCCCCGAATCCTGTCTGCCTTGTCGTATATCCATGTGAACCTGTCGAAAAACGGAGTTGAAAATGTCCGTTGCTGCTAAAGCGCCTGGGCGCGATCCGAGAGACGGAGCAACAAAGTCTTCTGCCCCCCCGAACTTTCCAATAAGTGCCCCGCTGGGTGTCTTGAACGAGGGCAAGGAGTTCATCCCTTGGGAAATGTTTACCCAGGAGGGGTTGACGACCCAGTTGCGCTCTAACCCCCTGGAGCAGAACAGGGGGCAAGGAGAGCTGATCAAGGGCCTCCGCGAGACGAGTCTCGTCGCCTGGCAATTGCAGCGCTAGTTGTTTTATGGTGGTGTAAAAGGCCTGCGCAAGGTCGAGACAAATGACTATCCCAGATGTGCGACTATTAATACAATGTCGGAGGAATGTGCGCACTGATAAAGTGACCATGTCAGCGCTCCTCCCACCCGCACCATCGCATTGTTCACGCAAGAGAGCGGATGCAAAGAAAGTCATG